CATCCCTAAACCACAAAGGACTTCCTTCGGCCTATATTCCCGTCCTTCGTCCCCATGTCCATCCTTTCTCTTTAAATTAAATTAAATTAATTAATAATTATTAATACTTGGACTTCAAAATAATAATAATGAAAAAAAACTTAATTTAATTTTTTTCAAAAAAAAGTTTCAATGAAAATTAATAAAGTTACATAATTGATTATATTATAACAACCAAGGCTATACAGAGAGAGGAAAAAGGTGACAAGAAATGATGTTTTATTAAACATAAAATAAAACCTTCATTTTTTTTATTAACATGTAAATTGAACCAACACTTCCTGTACAATTTGCACAACCAGAATAAGACTGCGAGCAAGAATATGTATCACTCTTATAAAACCCATCTATACACTGATTACAATAAGAAACACCATTTCTCACTGTACAAGAAGCACAATTTGTGTAATTTCCACAATAAACCCCATTTGAAACGCTATTTGTTTGATTTTTGAAAAAGAAATTGCGTTTTTCAAAATATTCAAATTTGTTGGTTGTTTTTGAATAATTTTGTTTTAATGTTTTTTGAGACAAATTATTTGGTGAAAATATCGTAAAAATATCACACCCAATTGTTGTTTTTTCGTTCTTGATGTGTTGTTGTAGTTTTAGAATGTCACCAACTAAACTCCATTCATAATTTAAAGGACATTCTACTGTTGATGAGACACACATATTTCTGTTTTGAAATATACACAATTTCATTTCAACAGATGATATACTATTTTCCAAAAATCGGAATTGGATTTTTTTATCTTTAAAATAAAGGTTATTCGTTTAAAATTATACATATTCTGTTTTTTGGAATAATCTCAAAAAGAGTAAATAAAACCTTATTTACTCACAAAACATTTTTTAATACGAGTTTTTATTTTATGATAAATAACTATTTTAATTCGGAATGTTTTTTATAATTTAACAATTCCGAATTTAATTACCATTAAATTATTCATAATAACAGGGAGTTTTTAACAAGCAAAATGCCGGTATAAAAACAACGAATTTCAATCAATGTTGTTGATTGAATTGTTTTAAATTTGTTATAATGATTTAATTGTTTTAAAGATAATACATAATGATATTAACGTAAAATCAAAGGAAATGTTATAAAAAATACAATTCAATGAAATAAAACAACAATCATCATTTTTGTATTATAACCGAATTTTATAGAAAAATAATTCGTTGTTTTATTTGACTTTAAAAGTTAAATAACATTAAATCCTTTTATTTTTTTCATCTCAATATTATCACAAACGAGGCTTGGTGTTAAAGAAACACTTAATAAAATGTTGTTTGTTAAAGAGATAACACTCGAAGAAATGAACTTGGTATTTTTGCAACAACTTATTCAAGAAGATCTATTCAAAGAGAAAATATATAATATTGTCAATGATGAAGAACTTAAATTCATGAGTGAGCACTTTAGTGACCCACTTTCACTTGATGATATAAGATGTGATGTACGTATCGGTGGTTCTATTGTTAGTACAACGTTTCAATTACCAAAAGGAATGAGGCTTGATAAAACCGAAAAAGATCATATTTCTGAAACATTAAAACTCTTATCAAATAAAATTTCAAATTTAGAAGTTAAAGTTAAAGAAATAGAACACAATAAAATAAATAAATTCATTTTGTCTCCAGGAAAAACAGTTGAAGAAAATGTTAAGTATTGTATTGACTGTGGTATAAAAAACCAGTTGGCGTTGTTAAAATGTTTCGTTCTTCAAATTTTCAAAGTCCTGGTATTGGGAGAATTTATCGATGTTTATCAGAGTATTCAAATATAAAACCAGCTAAAAGAGGACGTCCATCGTTCTCGGATAACACGAAAGAAGTAATTAAAAATATCACAAATAAAAAATGTCGTGTAAGTTGCAAAAAATGTACTCAAATACTTAAAAATAAATTTAATACAAAAATGTCAACTACCTCAGTTTATAGAATCTGGAAAAGTTTAAAATTTGGTTTTTATAAAACGAAAAAATGTACGTTTTTGACAAAAAGAAATGTCGAACAAAGAAAAGCATTCGTAAAAGAGCAATTGCAAAATTTAGAAACTGAAAGAATTCACAACTTAAAACTAAAAAGGAAAAGAGGAAGAAAACTATTTTTTTCTGATGAAAGTCGTTTATGTTATAATAATGACAAAATTCCGAGAGTTTGGAAAACAAAAGGTACAACAAAAAAGATGTATTGTTTTTTTCACCTAAAAACAGCAAGTGTTATGGTGTTCGGAATTATTGGTAAAAATTTTAAAAGTTCTTTGATAAGATGCATAGGAAAATTTGGAGGAAAAGAGTGTGTCAATCTTTGGAAAGAAAATAATTTATCGATTCTATTGAAAAAAATGGAGGGAAAAAATTTGAATTTATACAAGATGGAGCACCTCCTCATAGAGCAAAAAGTACTTTAGATTTTTTGGCAAATAATGGGGTTAAAATAATTAAAGGATGGCCAGGGAATAGTCCGGACTTGAATCCCATTGAAAATATGTGGGGAATAATGAAAAGGAAAATGAAAATATCCCCAATGATGTCGTCGGATGCAGTGTATACAGAAGCGGTTCGTGCATGGAAATCAATACCAATGACAACAGTTAATAACCTTGTTGATTCTTATGGCAAAAGACTGATACAATGCCAAGATAACAATTATTTATTTATTTAAATTAAAAATTCAAATAATTAATTATTTTAGTTTATTTATAAATGTTTAATTATTTTGTGTAAATATTGAATAGTTTTTTGTGTAATTTTAATTCTTAAAATAATTATTTTAATTTTAAATAGCAAAATAAATCGGAATGGTTTTTATTCCGATTTTTGGAATTAAGTAAAGAGTGGGGAGAAAGTCACACCAGGGGAAAAAGCCACACCATAATTCTTTCTGATTCTTTTTACTAAAAAGAACTTTTTTATTTATAAAATAAATTCAATAAAAACTGTGTTTTTGTTTGATTTTGAAATCGCCTTTATTCAAGTTTTACTATTTTTCTTTATGTTGATTGCAATTATTTTCTTTTTTAAAAAAATTGAAAAACTTTATAAAAAACTGTGTTTTTAAATACTATTTTAATATGATAAATATATTATAATTTGATATAATAGTTTTATCGTGTTTCAATTTAAATCCAAGACAAATTCTATATTATAGTAAAAGACAAATCAGAAAAACAGAGATATCCCCCAAAACACAAATATCTTTTTTAAAGTATATGTATTTAAACATACATATCTCGCATACACAACGTTTAAATCAAATGAAATTTTGAGAATTAAATACTATCATATAATTACAACTTTATTGATATAGCACTAAGTTTTTATTATACAGAATAATATAAAGTAAATCGACATTTGGTCTTTTTAGACCATATTTGTTTTCACCACTTATCGATATTTAATCACAATTGTATATACAAAACTTTAACAATGCAGTTACGAATAAATACTTCTTAAAATGTACTATAGTTCAGTTAAAAATTCAAGATATAAACATCAATTGTAACCATTTATGGTTTTTTATATTTTTGAAAAAAAATGAAACAACATAATTTTAACACCAAATAAACAACTTTTTATGATAATTGCTGAATTTTCCCGTTTTTTACTAAATAAACAAACCAATTAGAAAACCAAAATATTATAACTAAAACACAAACAAATTGAATTATTAAATCTTTAAAGCCGTTTTGATTATTATTTCGTTTATTTTGCAAAACAAAAAAGAGCAAAGAACAAGGACGAGTGGGCAGTGGTGGTGATGGATGGTCTTGGTTCACATTTCAGTGAAGAAGCATCTAAATGGTTCACCGACAACCATGTGGCTGTTTTGAAATTGTTCCCACATTCTTTACACATCACTCAACCACTTGACGTGTCTGTTTTTGGAGTTCAAAAACTTTGTTTCGTTTATAATAATAAAATATAAAAATTAATTATAATAAACTAAACTTTAGAAACTTATCCAACTTCCTCAAGTTGATGAAGACTTGAATTTTGAACCAATTGATTTGCAATCTTTGGACCATGTTTTGGGTACTTTGAACTTGGAAGACACTAACTGTGCCAAAGGAAAGAAGAAAGACATTATAAGGGATCTATATGAGGGGAGATTTACAAAGGCTGATTTGGTTGAATTCACCAGAAGTCCTTTGTCCAACCAAATAATATCGATCTACGCGTCTTGGGACAAAGCGACTTCTGGTGTTACCATTGTCAACACGTTTAGAAAGTGTGGGTTCTTCAACACTCGGTGCGTCAAGGGTGGAGAGACTTGCTTGCGCGTCAAGTTCTTTCCAGAAAGACCGAAATTGATGATGACTTTCTTGGGAGAACCGGTTTTATTTGAAAGATAGCGATTTGTTGGAAGGAGAAAAGTGGTTGTTGCACACAACATACCGGAGTTCGAAGATGAGTATGAGGACAATGATATTTCCCAAGAAGTTTAATATCGAGAACTTTACCAACATAATTCGACCTCGTTTACTGTTTTTTGATTTTTTGTTAAAAAGTATAAAACAATTCAGAAATAGTATAATGTATATTTAGTTATTAATCATATAAATATTTTATATTTTTATAATACATATTTATTATAAAATAGTTAAATAAAAACCCATAATATTTATTTATAAAAGTATTTTAAATTAAAAGATAAATCGAATCTGAAGGAGTAGTTGAATATTTCTTAAGGTGGGTTTGGTTTAGAATGTTTTCAAAGCAATAATAAAGTTTATAATTTAATATGTAAAGTAAAAAATATCATTTGGATTGTGGTAACTTAATAATAATTGTAGTAATCATAATAATATACAAAATAATATAAATTTGATAACTTAAAAGACAAATCATATGATAAGAATTGTTATGGGTTGTATTATAACTATAACTAATTTTTATTATAAATTATAATACAATATACAAAATGTTCAATCGTTATTTTGTATTGATATAAATTTGTAATTGTTAGTTAGGAAAAAAATGCGCTATTATAGTACTTCATAAAGGTGGTAAAGACTTATCAAAAATAGTAAAACTTGAATTAAGGAGATTTCAAAATCAAACAAAAACACAGTTTTTATTGAATTTATTTTATAAATAAAAAAGTTCTTTTTAGTAAAAAGAATCAGAAAGAATTATGGTGTGGCTTTTTCCCCACTCTTTATACAACAAATAATAATAATGTGAATTGTATCGTTTTGTAATCTTATATTTTAAGTTTTGTTTTTTAAAGTATAATGTTGGTTTTGGAATGTTTTTTAAATCCATTTAACACGTTCAAAACATAAACGTAATACAATGGGAGGAAATAAAGATATGCTCGAAAAAGAAGGATGCTCGCAACTATTGGTTATTTTCAATGTTAAAAATAATAAGTTCATAAAATGTAAACTGTAGTTCAAAAGTCTGTACCACAGTATTTTTAAAACTTCCTAAAGTCCCGTTTTTTATTTTTGTTTTTTCCTAAAAAACAAAAAAACAAAAAATCGAAAGTACAGATTTAATTTTGAAAAAAATATCAATCCCTTTCAATTATTTTTGTACAATATCGGGAATTTATCGGAATATTAGCCAGCTTTTTCCAAAAAAAACCGATCCCGTTATTTGATTTGACCACAACTCGATACTTCACAACACAAACTCAACGTTGTTGGTCAAATCATACAACGATAAACACGTTAATAAAATGGGATGTTGTTGTTTGTGTCAATTTGTAACTAAATATCAGTTTCGTTAGTTTTTCATTTTAATTAAAAACAAACATGTGGTTTTAATCTTTAAACAAAAGAAAATGAAATAACAAGTTTTAAAGAAAAATAAATAGAAGCAAACAATTATTAATTTTGTGTTTTGATATTTCAGTCATTGTTGTGACAACACCATCAGTATATCGATATTACGCGATACTTTAGCGCTTGTTATTTATTTTATTATTATAAATGAAGACTCGACTTTGAAAATTTTTGGCATTAAATTTATCAGCTTTTTATAATAAAATGCACTTTTGGGATCATTCACGTGTATTTCAAAAACAAAAATCCCGTTATTTCAAATTTTATGTGGATTTTTTTAATGCTTAAAAATTCTTCAAGTAAAAAAATCTTTTTTGAAGACTGTTTTTCTCTTTTTGACTTGGAAAAAATAAGCGAATTTATTACAAAAAACGATTCCCAAAAATAATAAACAAAATAAATGCAAAAAATCGGGACACCCCAGTACAGACTTTTGAAAACCAGTTTATATTCTCAAAACTTCTAATTGTTTGGTTGATTTATTTCAATTTTTATTTTTATAATGAAAAAAATGTAACCAAATTATAATCAACGGTCAAGTTATTGTTGATATCTTTCAATTTCGATAAGTTTTTCATTATTAACTTCCAAGGGTATATCAATATTACCATAACTGATAGTAACTTCACGAACATGTTGTAAGTTGTATGTTTGATGTTTTATACAAACATTACCATAAAGCATTCCGGACATAGATGCAAGTGTGTTAATAACACCAAAAGAACAAGCGTAACCAACTGTTATTCCAGATAAAAAGTAGTTCACATAAGACAATTTTGAGCGGTCATTCTGTCTGTAGTCAACACATGACGATTTTTCTATGATGTTAACATTTTTTTAATATTGTCCGGAGCAAAAAGTTTGGACATCAACTCAAGATTTGAAGCAACTGCATTTGTATAATATGTTGTGTACTCTCGAGTGAATCTTTCAGCACTTTTGATGTCGACAAAAAACCTCCATTTACCATCAATAAATCTCGACACCATTCCGCCTCTTTCAAAAGAAGAGACAATGTTTTTATGAGTGGCCGAAGTGTCAATCGAATTCATAATTTCTTCCATTGTTTTCATAAAAGCCTCTCCGTTTTTTTGCTTTTTTTAGTGCGTCAGTTGAAGTGTTTGTGTGATTGGATATTTCTTTCAACAAATCTTCCATTGCTTCAGAAAATCTCTCGCGATCATCACTCTTGTAATCACTTGACACCGTGAAAACTCCATTTCCACGAGGTTGCTGGTCAATACTAATTTGTGTTGCAAATAAGGGTGTACTATTACTCTTGGTTTTTTAACACAACCAAATAGACAAAGGTCTAAAGGTTCTACCAAAAGAGAAGTATGAGGCACAAATAGGTGGATGTGTATAAAGTTTGGTTCACACATTTTCCCAATATTTCAATATCATAACCAGTGAAACCATCCATGGTGATCAAAGAGGGTGTATTTATATCTAACCCATATTAAACTCTTGTGGAAATGATAGTTGGTATTACCCTTTCTTCAAACCAAGTTGTGAATATTTTCTTTGTGACAAATCCAGTCTCAGAGTAATAGAAATATAAATCACAATTTCGTTTGAAAGATTCAACAGGAACGTTTTTTTAACCCAACCACGGCTGCTACACAACAGACTTGTCCCGATAAAGATATCGTACACATTAAAGTTGTGCGTTTACGACCCCTATTATTACCGATTCGTAATTTTTTGGCATCAACTGTTGATGGCACCAACACTTAAACATTTTTTTATCTGCATAATCTTCAAAACCAATTTCATCAATATTAATTACCATTTGAATTGGTATACCGCCAAATTTTGAAAGATCCAAGTAATTCAAAATAACATTTGATGGGTCAATTCTTAATCTACCCATATCTTCTGTTATACCATCTTTGTATTTTAAATTCATGTGAGATAACAACCATTTTTTAAGGTGTCATTTTCTTCTTTTGTTGACTGTGTTTTTAATAATATCATTTCGAATGATTTGAGTGTTATTGCCAAATTATGAGTAGAACAAAATAAATAAACTGATGAAAAAACGAGTTCTGTTAAAGGGGAAATTAAAGAGCGCCTTCCAATATAATTTTTACGGTCAATCAATTCTTTGTTATAATAGGAAATTTGTTTCGAAACGACACCGCGGTTAACATTGAATAAAACAGCAAGTGATCTATGTGTACATTCATTGTTGGGTTTATATTTTTTATATATTAACCCAATTTGTAATCTCATTATGGCTCCTCTTATTTTGTTTAACATTTCTATATCTTTTTTTATTGTTTCATACATCATT